AGCTTCCCACCGGAGTGGAAATAATCTATCGGACAGATGGCAAGCTATTCAACCTCAGCAGACTGAAAGCCAAAACCAAGGTTACAACAACAGCTGTTATAGAACTCCAGTATGCTGATGACAATGTCGTCTGTGCGCATTCAGAAGAAGATCTACAAGCCACTCTAAACACCTTCGCAGAAGCATATGAGAAGCTCGGCCTGTCACTGAACATTGAGAAAACCAAGGTGCTGTTCCAGCAGTCACCAGCCAATCCCTCTCCAATGCCAGTAATACAGCTTAATGGTGTCACATTAGAAAATGTGGACCATTTCCGCTACCTTGGCGGCCACCTCTCCACCAAAGTCAACATCGACGCCGAAATACAACACCGCCTGAGCTCTGCAAGTGCAGCATTTTCCAGAATGAAGCAGAGAGTGTTTGAGGACCGGGACATCCGTAGGAGACCAAGGTGCTTGTTTATAAAGCTATTGTCCTCCCAACCCTGCATATGCCTGTGAGACGTGGACTGTCTACAGACGTCACATGCAGCTCCTGGAACGATTCCATCACGCTGCCTCCAGAAAATCCTGCAAATCTCCTGGGAAGACAAGTGGACAAACGTCAGTGTGCTGGAAGAAGCAAAGACCACCAGCATTGAAGCGATGGTCCTCCAACATCAACTCCGCTGGGCCGGCCACGTTGTCCGGATGCCTAACCACCGTCTCCCAAAGCAGTTGCTCTACTCCGAATTTAAGAATGGAAAACGGAACGTTGGTGGACAGGAAAAGAGATTTAAAGATGGGCTCAAAGCCAACCTTAAAAACTCTGGCATAGACACTGAGAACTGGGAAGCCCTGGCCCTTGAGCGCTCCAGCTGGAGGTCAGCTGTGACCAGCAGTGCTGCAGAATTTGAGGAGGCACGAGTGGAGGGTGAAAGAGAGAAACGTGCCAGGAGGAAAGCGCGTCAAGCCAACCCCGACCGGGACCGCCTTCCACCTGGAAACCAATGCCCACACTGCGGAAGAAGATGCAGAGCAAGAATAGGGCTCCACAGCCACATACGGACCCACAAGGAAATCCATAATGGAAGACCATCTTACTCGTCCAACGAGGGATCACCTAAGTAAGTAAGTAAGTACTTATGTAAGGTACTTGAGGAAACAATACAGATAAGATTGTCAGTTTTATTGGGAATGCATTAGCGTGCAGTAGTTTAAGTTACTTGTGAAGATTGTTCTGGAGATGGAGGGGTGAAAATGTGTCTAAAGTCAAGGAGATGATATGCAAGATGGGATTGTAGTAGAGCACAAGGAGGAGAGAGCAAGGAATGAAAGTATGTAAATGTAAGTCAAAAGATGAAAGAGATATGCAGCAAAGCTTTGGATAAACATTTCCAAGAGATATTGATACACATCTTTCCGGGAAATATATCCAACAGTATATGACCTAGCTGCAAAAATGCTATGTGCCTTTCAGCCATCTCCACTGATAGTTTTAGAGCAGGGATGGAAAGCTTGGCACATATTGACAGGAGGGGGACAATATCCTGGTCCCTGGAAAATGCCCTAAAATGGAATTTCAGGTTTGGAAAACAGTCCACTTCTGATTTAGATTATAGTTTTACTAACCTGTCCCCAAATGCTACAAATGGGCATTTCATTGTCAGACAATTTGAACATGGATGTATGTCAATTCCATTAATTACTGAAAGCCAGTTTTGGAATTGAATAATTGATCGCTAGCCAGGGATTAATGTTTTGGAACAGACGTACGAGACAATGGCAATCATATAGAGGGCAATAAAGAACAAATTGGTCACCCCCATAATCTATATCTGAAAACTGAGTATCTTTCAATTCATGACATTATCTTACATGCCTATTAGAATGATGGTCATTTTTGTGCTCTAACAGTCTGTTTGTCTTTCCCCTCTCTTCTTCTGGCCTCAACAGAAACTGGCTATTTTCTACATTTTAACACTAATAGTGGCAACCAGGGGGACAAAGCTGTTTTGGAGAGCCGCTTTCTGTACCCAAAGAGAGGATTCCAGTGCCTGCAGTTCTTTTATTATAACAGTGGAAGTGAAACAGATAAGCTGAATATTGGATTTACGGAGTACACCGATGCAAATCCCAATGGTACTTACAGAATTATAGAAACGATACAAGGTATGAAAATGTTCTCAGTCTCCATTTGTTTTTATCATAGCTCACCTTGGGAGACAATCTTGGAAAAGTTACTTTTTCAGATCACAATCCTAAGAATGTATCCATCAAGCACAGCAATGCTACAGCTCCCAGGAATCCATAGCATAGAGCCATGGCAGTAAAAGTGGTGTCAAATATTTACTATGGAGATTTCTCAGTAGCTGTTTCAAAAATCTTTCAGACTTTTTTTTGCCTGGTATTGTTCTCAATGATCTCTACAAATAAGGGAAATGCTTTTTAACTCTACAATATAAAAAGTGCTGTTGTCGTTAAACACAATTTTCATAGAATACAGGCATTCCCCAAGTTACAAACAACATAGGTTCTGTAGGTCTGTTCTTAAGTTGAATTTGTATGTAAATCAGAACAGTCACATTTTTAAAGTGTAATTTCAATCCTATCTATCTATCTATCTATCTATCTATCTATCTATCTATCTATCTTTGGATAGCACAAGGAAGGGTTAACACCACTGTAGTGTTTGTTTTGCTGTCTGTGCCCCTATTCAGAACATTTCACTTCACTTCCTGTCCCTGTGAGAATTGGACACACCTTTCCCCCATGATAACTCTTTCAGGAGTGACTGCCTTTTTCTAGGCATAGATTTCTCTCCCTTTCTGTTGTTTTACCCCTTTTCTTAACTATGAGCTGTTTGTAAGTTGGATGTTTGTAACTCGAGGACTGCCTGTACAGCACTATAGAGGACATCTGGCTACCTGCTTAAGACCACACTTGTTCCGATTACATCCATTCATAATGCACCAGCCATTGAAAGAAAAAAAAAACTTCCCAGTGACAGAGAGACAGATTTGCACCCATACATTCACCGAAGAAGGATCCCCTGAAGAGAGCTTGCTTTCTTTTGTCTGCTGGAGAAACTTCTGCATGAAATTGATACTAAGAATCTATTACGGTAGTGCCTGAGTTTGCTTTCCCTGTTGCCCCTCTTTTTCCAAAGTAGCTGGCGAATCCATTGTTGTGGGGATGGTGAATCCACTCATGGTTTTATGACCATTCCTCCCACAGTTGCTCCAAGTTTCATGGGAGCCATTCAGTTGCTGGATCTTATTCCCTAATGAGGATTGCCATTTGGAGAGTTCTTTTTCAACAGCTATGGAATGCCTGACCTTAAAATTGAGGGTGCATCCTTTCTGCTTGGGAACATGGTAGTCATGTTTAAATATTTGAAAGGATGTCATGTTGAGGAGGAAGTAAGATTGTTTTCTGCTGCTGTAGTCACTGGAACACAGAGCAATGGATTCAGTTTGTAGGAAAAGAGATTCCAGCTAAACATTAGGAAGAACTTTTCAACAGTGGGTTGTTGTAGGTTTTTCGGGCTATATGGCCATGTTTTAGAAGCATTCTTTCCTGACATTTCACCTGCATCTGTGGCAAGCATCCTCAGAAGTTGTGAAAACTTTTTGACAGTTCAAATTTTATTTATTTATTTATTTATTTATTTCGTATATTTCTATCCCGCCCTTCTCCCCACAAGGGGGACTCAGAGCAGCCTCACACAAGAATGAGAAGATGCTAACAACACAAATTCCATAAATTCACAATAAAATCATTTTAAAACATTGTACAACATGATAAATAAATTTAACAATAAATTAACGTGCCAGTAAAACCAAACCAAGCTGGGAAAATCCATGTCGCAAAACCCAAAATTCCTTTTCCTATTGCTGCTGGCCTCTAATTGAATGCCTGGCTCCAGAGCCAGGTCTTCAGTTGTCTTCTAAAGGACAGGAGGGAGGTGGTCAACCTGATGTCCTTAGGGAGAGAGAGTTCCACAGACGGGGGGCCATTGCTGAGAAGGCCCTGTCTCTCGTTCCCACCAACCGCGTTTGCAAGAGTGGTGGGATCGAGAGCAGGGCCTCTCCTGACAATCTTAAGCTTCATGATGGTTCATAGCAGGAGATACGTTCTGACAGGTAATCTGGGCCAGAACCATTCAGGACTTTAAAGGTTCAATCCAGCACTTTGAATTGTGCCCAGAAGCTGATCGGCAGCCAGTGGAGATGGTGCAACAGATGAGTGGTATGCTCCCTGTACGCCGCTTCGGTTAACAGCCTGGCTGCCGACCATTGGACTAATTGGAGCTTCCGAGAAGTTTTCAAAGGCAGCCCCACTTAGAGAGCTTTGCAGCAGTCTATTCAGGATGTAACCAGAGCATGGACCACTGTGGCCAAGTCAGACTTCCCAAGGAATGGGCACCTCCTTCTCTGGAGGTTTTTAAGCAGACACTGGGTGGCTATCTTTTGGAGTTGCTTTGCTACAATGATTATCCAGTTCAACATACCCAGTGATGTTGAACTGGGTAATCCTTGTAGTCTCTTCCTGTTCTATGATTCTATGGCAATCAAGCTCTAAATATAATTCATACTGTATTTCTTTTCCAGGGCTACCTGTGAACTACTGGGAGTTGCACCACATTTCTTTAACCATGTCAAGTAAATCCAGAGTGTTTTTTGAAGGCATAAAGGGATCCACAGCATCGAATGGAGGCCTTTCTATTGATGATGTCAACCTGTCTGAAACCCGATGCCCTCACCATGTTTGGCATATAAGAAATTTCACTGAGCTTCTTGCTTCAAGCCCTTTAGGAACAGCAGGAAGGCTCTATAGCCCACCATTTTACTCTCCTGAAGGGTATGCATTTCAGATTGCCTTGTATGTGAATGGTAGCAGCAGTCCATTTAATTTAGCAATATTTGTTCACCTGATCTCTGGAGCAAATGACAACCAACTCCAGTGGCCTTGTGCATGGAAACAATTCACAATGGTTCTTCTTGATCAACATCCAGATATCACTCAACGTATGTCAAATCTAAGGAGTATAACAACAGACCCAAATCAAGTAGGTAAGTTAATACTTCAATCCATTTTCCTTAATACACATCACAAGATTTTTCTATTTATTCTATCACATTCTCCGTGCAATATGTTCATTGCAATCCTATTTTTTTGAACTGAGAAATACAACCTTTATGACCAGAGGACACAAGCAATCATCATCATTGTCAGTTAGGTTGTCTTCATAAGTTGATAACACTGGTCAACAACACACATTTCGGTGCCTCAAATGTTTGACCTACTTTTGGTGTTATTTGACCCACTTTCCAAAAATGGCACATTTTCCTCATCAGTTCTACTTTTTGAGATGCAGAACATATGCCATATACCACTCTTCATCTGTTCACCTATAGAAAATTATAATAACCATATTAAAAAAATAGAGCTGATGGGGTCTATTCAATGCAATTTTCTGAACCAATGGCACAAATAACCCCAGGAATAGGCCTAAAATCATTTTTTTGTTGAGCTGTATAATTATGCATAAAATGGTTCTCAGGACTGGGTAGTATTTATTTTAAGTATCATCCTAAGGTCAACTTTTAGCTAGGCATTTTAATTTCCTTTCCCTCTTCTAATTTGTTATTCCCTTTAACTTTAAGTCTTGCAAGAGGGATAGAATTGCTTTATTTATTTTGAGGTAGCAAAGGTGTGTATACGTGTTCTGTTTCTGTTGAAAGGGAGCTCTTATAGTTATGTTTAATTACTTACTTTATTGTAATAGAGGCAGATTGCATTCGTATATACAGTAAAGTTACTAGATAAGAGCAGTAGTAAACTAAACGAGGGGCAGAATACATGGGAAGGATATAAAACCAAATGTTCTAGGTGAAAATATACTATTATGTTTGCTTTCACACATATGGATTTACTCAAGCCCTGGAATCTTTCAGCTTTTTGTGCTATCAATTTATAAAGAGTAAAAAGGAAGAGGGCAATATAACTTTGCAATTTCGTGAGCCCTTTCCCCAAATATTAGAATATATTATTTGGGATGGGATGAGATGATTGTTGGGATGGGATGCTTGGGTTTTTTTTTTTTTTGTATTACATAGTTGTCTTTTTTGCTATTTTAGGTCACTTTGAGTTTTATACATGGGAGAAAATTGGAATAAAAGTAAATAAATAATATTTAATAAAACTCTCCCTGCTTACATCAATTTCTTTATCTTTTGCTTCACAGACTCCTCTGGCTCTTATACTTGGGACAGACCAGATAAAGTAGGAATGGAAGCTACCTTTCCAAATGGCACTAAGTTCATGAGGGGTCCTGGGTATGGAACAAGTGCCTTTCTAACACATGAAAGGCTTAAAAGCCGTGGCTTTATTAAAGACGATAGTATTTTCATTCTTGCAACAGTGGATGGTATGTGGACCTAGCATGAGTTTGTTATTTTGTGACACAGTGTCTACCCGTCTGTGTTTCTGTCTCCTAGTGTGAAGTTAAAGCCAAGAAACTACCTCATTTTTCTAACATGTTAATTTGATAAGTTAGTTACTTTGGCAGCAATGAGTTTTGTGCATATGTGTGTGATCTATAATAACGGTAACCTATTAATTTTTAGCAAAATGTCTGCTTGTCAGTTATTTCTTGGGTGTATAGTGATTGAAGCTATATCAATACTACAGCATTATAGAAGCTCAACATATTAATTGTCATGGCTCAATTATAGGGAATTCTGGGGCTTGTAGTTTTGTGAGATACTTGCCCTTCTCTGGCTGGTTAATCCCTAATGGATAAAGTAATAGAGAAGATAAATGACAAGAACTGGATAAAATTATTAGGTCTATATAACAAACTTAAACAAGAAAAATATGAAGGAAAAAATACAGAAAGAAGATGAATGGGAAGAAATATTTAAAAGAATGGAAAAAGAAAAAAAGTTTATTTATTTATTTACTATATTTATACCCTGCCTTTCTCAACTCCAAAGGGGACTCATATAGGTAACTATTCAATGCCTTAAAACAACACACAATTGAAATAAACATTTAAATTAAAAATTAAAATACATGTTAAACATTTTAAAACATTAATTGGTTTTATATACAAATTGATGGCAAAGGACACTGATTATATGATAAGAACAGTACAAAATAAATGTCAAAGAGAAGGACCACTTACGAATCAAATAATACAAGATATAATGAAGGGGATGAAGCAAATCAAACTGGATAAATAAAAAAATTAGAAAGGAAATTTATACTAAAATGATGTAGGATTCCAGCTCAATAATCATATATGATAAAAGGTGTAAGTCCAATGTGTTGGCACTGTGGAAAGAACAAGGGAAGGTACTCACATATGTGGTGGGAACATTCAAAAGTAACCAGATTCTGGGAAATAACAAAAACGATGGAAAGAATATTTAAAATACTTATATAAGTAAATTAATCATGGGAATATTAGGAAACAAGTGAATTAATAGAAAGGAACAAGAACTGTTTAAAAATTATGATTCAAGCTGGACAAGCAGTAATTGCAAGGGGGTAGAAAGATGAGAAAAAGTGGACATTAGAGAACTGGAACAATTACATATATGAACAGGTATAATTCCAAATTATGACAAATATAATGAAGGAAAACATGCAAGAGGAAAAAATAGAGGAAATAAAAAACAAATGGAATATATATATATATATATGGTAAAATGGATAAATCCAATACAAATATTATAAAGAAAGTAAGAGAACTGAGCATGTGGTTAAAGATAACAACATAGTAGAAAATGTGGTCAGGGAGGTGGATAATGGGGGGGGGGATAGCACGGGAGTTTTATTTTATTTTTATTTATTTTTTATTATCGTCTGCTTAGAATGTTAACAGTAAATGTTAATAAGATAAAAGATATGTAAAAGTTTAAGATATAAACAAAATAAATGAATAACACCTAGGAATGCTGAATACAAAATATTGTAGAAGTAATTGCACCAAATGAAAATAAGTGTAAACAGACAATAGGATTTAGAAATATTTATACAAAAGGTTTACTGAATATCCACACCCAACTGAAATAAGTGTAAATAATGTGATGCAACATTACGAAGCAACAATAATAAAAGTAAGATGAGAAAAAATTAAAAGAAATTAGGGTGGGGTGGGGGGGGGGGAGGAAGAAAAGATACTTGTCCTTCTCTGTCAGAGAGCTGTGGTGCCACAACAAATTGAACCCCAGGATTCCATTGGATGGAGCCTTGGAGTCAAACGGATATGATTCTGCAGTGTGGGTTGTCTGCCTAAAAATATGGAAGAACTCCCTGATGGTGAGAGCTGTTTGTCAGTGGAATATGTTGCCTTAGAGCAGTGGTTCTCAACCTGTGGATCCCCAGATTTTTTGGCCTTCAACTCCCAGAAACCCTAACAGCTGGTAAACTTTCTGGGAGTTGTAGGCCAAAACACCTGGGGACCCACAGGCTGAGAGCCACTGCCTTAGAGTGTGGGAAGTCTCTTTTTCTGGAAGTTTTAAATCAAAGGCTGGATGGCCTTCCGTCAAGAGTGTTTGGATTGTGTGTTCTTGAATGATAGAGGTCTGGACTGGGTGGCCTTTGACATCTTTTCCAGCTCTGTGAGTTTATGGGACAAGGGAATAGGCCATAGAGTTCTGGGATGAAGTCCCAACCTGTTCTGTGACCAAAGTAATGAGTACAGTAATATGTCCCCTTTAAAAAACAACACGCTGACCTCTGATTGGAGCATTCTTTCTCCTGTCTCTCCTACAGTGTTTTCCTAGTGTATTGATGACTGTATGAATATGTACTGATTATGATGCAAGAATTCACGCTATCCATGCTATCCCTTATTTATTCACTTTAGATATATCACATTTAATATCAACACAACCAAATTTCACTGTCACCAGTGTTCTAGCTACAACCACCATGACTGATGCCTGCAGAGCTTATGGCTGTAAGAATAATGGAACTTGCATTATTGATGCGGGAAAGCCTGTTTGCAGGTAATAATTTGATCACTGAGGAGTTATTGCTAGGAAGATAACATATCTAGCAACAATATTAAGCAGTTATGATGTTGTAAGCAGTTATAACTTTGCAAAAGCTCTGTATTCATATTTGAAATTGTGGCACCATTGCCACCAGCACAAATTCCTCTGGAATTCACCTTAAATGTCAGGCAACCATCTGAAGTGACTGAGTTCTGAAGTGCTGGTAAATCAGTGCTGCAACATGATATGACCAATCCCTCCCTGCCAATAGGTAACAGTGCAAGGCACAGAATCAGGAACCCCCTGTGGGCCTGTCACCATTCTGGAAGGGGACTGTTCACGGCATCTTGTAGAGTTCTGTTTGCAGCAGAACTCTGTTGGTCAGAGAAAATAAAAGGCCTGACATACTCTTGCGGTGATATTTTATATTTTCCAGTGAATTCCAAATACTCCATAGAACTACAAATTGCAGGATTCCATAGGATGAAATAATGACATTTAAAGGACTATTAGTGCTTTAAAGGTACCAAAGCCTACCTATCCTTGGAAGCTAAGCAGAGTCAGTGCTGGTTAGTACCTGGATGGGAGACTGCTAATGTGGACTAGTTGTTATAGGCAATATTTCAGAGGAAGGAACTGACAAAATCACCTTTCATTATTCTGTGCCTAGAATAAGTCAAATATCTACATGTTAGCTGGGATGCTAGCTTAATCTAGGGCTTTTTTTTCAGGTTCTTAAAGATCCAGGAAGGTAATCTTGTTGATATAAAATTAGGTGGCCACAGTTTTTGGACAGTTTTCCCCAGAATATCACAGGCAGCATGACTATGTTGGAAGTGAGGTCCTGAGAAATTGTAATGGAAAAAGCAAAACACTACTAAGCTCTAGACAAGCTATCAAGTCGTTAGAAAGCAATGCCATGAAATAAAAATAAATCTGATGAACCCTCCATGTAAACTAGTGGTTCCCAACCTGTGGTCTGTGGATCACCAGTGGTCCGCAATAACTAAAATATGGTCTGTGGCCTCAGTGTTACTACACAGTTGCAACGAGAGCAACTGGTCTTGTGAAACCCTCTTATAGTGCCAAGACTTATTAAACATGGTTTTCTGTGGGCAAGCATATGATGACTACTAGATAGCATATATTCTGTATCAGAAACTAGAGCTGATATGGTCTAGCCAATGCAATTTTCTGAATCAGCACCCCAAATAACCAAACTGAATCTAAAGTTGACCAAAACTGATTTGTAATCCTGTAGGTACTAATGTTGGAGAGTGGGCCCTGGTCAATGTGGGCCCTGGTCAAAAAAAAAAAAGGTTGGGAACCACTGATGTAAGCACTTGATTCAAAGCTACATAGGTTCAATTCACTGCTGAAAACAACTGAAGGAGTTGTAAACAGTTATAAGATTCTGTTTATGGAAGACAGCTCAATATCTTCAAACAATGTAGGCTCAGATAAATCTTGAATGGATTTTAAAAAAAACAAACAAACCAAAGACCATTTTGAAAATATGTTGGAATATGCTCTTTATGTTCAGAAAATAATATCATGTCTCTAGAACATGGCCATATAGCCCAAAAAAACCTACAACAACCCAATATCATCTTAAATTATAATTAGCTTTAAGGTTCACTTTGCTTGAAGTGGAAAAAAAAGTTCATAGAAGAAAAACCAGACTGGTGTATATGTACTGAAAGAAAACATTTAATACTTCATGTGCTGTTTGAATGTGACTTACTAAGATGGTTGCTTTCCAGGTGCCCTGTTGGGAAGGACTGGTGGTATGTGGGAGAAAAATGTGATAAAAAAGGAACGATGCAGGACACTGCTGTAATAGCAGTTGCTTCATCTCTTAGTGTGTTTGGTGTCATGTTGATCCTCACTGTTGTAACTGCTTGCTGTATTAAAAAGAAATACAAGAAAAAAATGGAAGCTAATAGCAACTTGGAATTACGAAAAGTAAGTATTTTGTTTGTAGTAATATATACTTTCAGTGGTCTCCACAATACACCTGATCTCAAACAAATAGAAATACTGGTGGCTGACAGAGTCTGTGGTTTTGAAAGTTCAATCTACATTTTTTAGACTGATCCTCACTAACAACACAGCTTATTTGAAATGCTTGGGACCAGAAGTAATTTTTTTTGTTTAAATTTTAGAATACTTGCATATAGATTCGATATTTTGGAGATGAAACTCATGTCTGAATACAAAATTCATTTTTGCTTCATATAAATCTAAGAAACATGGGTTAGAAATAATTTAATATGCAATTTTAAAAAAATAATTCTGAGTATGAAACAAGGCATGTAACCAAGGCTGATGAGGAACAACTTAGGAAGCTAGGAAACTATAGATTGGAGATGAGAAAACTAAAAGAGGATGTGATAGTTTTATTTAAACATCTGAAGGGACATCATATAGAAGATGGTGCAAGCTTCTTTTCTGTTATTCCGGAGACTTGGACATGAATCAATAGATTCAAATGACAAGGAAAGACCTTACATCTAGATGTCAGGAGAAAACCCTCATTTACTGTAAGAACTGTTCAACAGTGGAATAGACTACTTTGAACTCTTTCCATCTTTAGAGATTCCAAAGATGGACTCTCTGTCTTTGGAGACCTTTAAACAGAGGTTGGACGTCATGCTTCAGTTATGTATTTCTGCATGGTAGGGGATTTGACTGCATGACCCTTGTGGTTCTTTCCAACTGTGATTACATCTACTTGTAAAGATCTTGACACATGAATTTTAAAGCATTGTGTTCTATGCAGAAGTCCAAGTTCAGAAATTCTGTGCAGAAGCCAAGAAAGCCCATCTCTATTAGGTATCAAAGGATAAATGTCCAAGAAATAACACATATAAGATGAACAAACTTTAGTATTAGTTTGGCAATTTGGCAATTCTTATTATGAAATGCAGACGAGACCGAAGTATTGAATAGTTCCTCAAATTCAAATCTGAATAACTTACTAGCCTATGGTAGATTAATTTAGCATCTTCATTGTGACTGTATTCCATACATGATAAACACCGTTATTTATTGACTTTGATGGCTAGTATGCTTTTCCTCAATTACAGTGATTCATAAGATGTATTTTCTTCATTTGATAGACATCTCTTTGAAGACCGTGAAACTCCAGAAAGCAATACATACAGAATAATCTGCTGTACTACTTGGATACCTCACTCAAAACATCATGTTCAACATACTTTTTGGCCAATTGAAAAATAATTATCTCATTTACATGTATGGTAGCAAAAAGAAATGATCAACATGTGGATCTCTTCTCTTTCCTGGTCAACTTTGGAAAATGCATAATATGGACATGAGAACAGTGGCAGATGCAAGGATGTGGCAAAGTAATTTAGCCAGCAGAGAAAGTGAAATGAATGAAAATAATAATAATAATAATAATAATAATAATAATAATAATATCTTTATTTTCATCCCACTTTTCTCTACAAAATGGCTCACAACACTTTAAAACAATGCATATTAACCATACAAATAATAAAAACAATAAACCAACTGTAAAATAAAACATAAATAAGCATTTGTACCTAATGGATAGGCATTTGTAAGACAGATATGATAATATGGATTTTCCCTGCTATATAACAAACACTGATCTAGGGAGTGCACCCCAATGTCTAAATAGTTCTCCCTTAAATCCCCAAACTACTGTTTAAAATCCTGTGACTGTAAGGGTAAATTGTTTGGGGTTTTCTTTGGGGAAAACAGAATTCACCCAGTTACCTGAATGATGAAGCTTCCCATTTTTTCCTCAATTAGATAATTTAAAACTTTGTAAAAGGATAAAAGTACCCTATTTCTAGGCTACATTATAGCTTCCGTGCAAGAAGACAATAGCCTTACTGGTACTATCCTTTATTATCTTGCTAACACTGTTGTGCAAGTGATAAGAGATAATAAGAAACAGCAATGCATTGCAAGATTCATATCCTCTTATACACTATGATATGGACATCTTCCTTTATTGAATATTCCACTGTGAAGATCTTTTACTATCTTCAGGGACCATATATACACATTTATATCTCCCATTGAAAAAACATCTTAACATCAATAGTGAAAATCAGCTGATTTGTTGTCCAAAATAATGAAATCAATGTTGCTTCAGAAATAGCAATTTCTGATCCAAAATCATTGTTCTAGGAATCTTCTTAAAGCAATAAATGTGAAGAAATCCAGTTTGCACCTCCCAAATGTGCTCCTGTTTTGATCATTCTCAGTCCATGCATTTAGTACTCATGTTTGTTGGGTATGATGGGAGTTTTAAGAGAAATATCTGGAAGAGCCTGGTCAGCCAGCGGGCTGATGAAAATCTGGGAAATGGTACTTTACCTCTTGGAGAAGAAAACTTACTTACAATGTCATTTGACACTGGATGAATTGCATGTTGTAAGTACACATACATGTTATATGCTACCATGAGTCTAAATAAAGACATTTGCAATCTGTCGGGGGTCCTTTGAATGTGATTTTCCTGCTTCTTGGATGGGAGTTGGACTGGAGGTCTCTTCCAATTCTGTGATTCTATGATCAGTGCTTGTATCCTTGTAGGGAGACATCAAGTAACAAGATGGAGATGTGCTTGTTTATTGAATACTAATTGAATGCATCCTACAGTTTTTTAGGTTGTACTCTAATAGGACGGCTGGAACTTACAGTACAAGAACATGGGTCCCAGCCCTATTATGTATTAAGAATACAGCGAGAAGTTATCTGCCATATGTATCAGTGGCATAAGGTAAATGTCAAGGTTTCCCCTGACATTAAGTCTAGTTGTGCCTGACTCTGGGGGTTGGTCCGTAGACACCTCCAAGGTCATGTGGCTAGCATGACTGCATGCGCTGAGCATGCCTGCTCTCTCTTCCCTGCATGGGGTCTCATAAACAGCACTCCCCTTGGGAGGGATTTTGGTGGGAGGATTCACTGTCTGTTTCCAAAAAGGAAGAGGACAGGTAGAGAGATCTTCAGCTTTCTCTGCTAAAGGGATTCCTAAGACCATCAGAAATATGTATTTTCTGATGGTCTTTGGTGACCCCTCTGAAACCCCCTTGCGACCCCGCATCTCAATCCCTAGGTTGAGAAACGTGCCTTAAGACAAGTGAGATGTCCCTCAGCGTTTCTCAACCTGGGGGTCAGGACCCCTGGGGGGGTCACGAGGAGGTCTCAGAGGGGTCACTAAAGAACATTACAAAGCACAGTATTTTTATTTATTCTGTTAGTCATGGGGATTCTTTGTGGAAAGTTTGGCCCAATTCTATCATTGGTGGGGTTCAGAATGCCCTTTGATTGTAGGTGAACTACAAATCCCAGCAGCTACAACTCCCAAATGTCAAGGTTTATTTTCCTCAAACTCCACCAGTGTTCACGTTTGGGCATATTGAGTATTTGTGCCAAGTTTGGTCCAGATCCACCCTTGCTTGAGTCCACAGTGCTCTCTGGATGGAGGTGAACTACAACTCCCAAACTCAAGGCCAATGCCCACCAAACCATTCTAGTATTTTCTGTTGTTCATGGGAGTTCTGCGTGCCAAGATTGGTTTCAATTCCATCATTGGTCGAGTTCAGAATGGTCTTTGATTGTTGGTGAACTATAAATCCCAGCAATTACAACTCCCAAGTGATAAAATCAATCCCACCCAACCCCACCAGTATTCAAATTTGGGTGAATTGGATATTTGTGCCAAATTTTGTCCAGCAAATGAAAATACATCCTGCATGTCAGATATTTACATTACGATTCATAACAGTAGCAAAATTCCAGTTATGAAGTAGCAATGAAAATAATGTTATGGTTGGGGGTCACCACCACATGAGGAACTCTTATTAAGGGGTCGTGGTACTTGGAAGATTGAGAACCACTGCTCCAGATGTTTCTGAACTGAAATTCTATTGGCTATAGCCAAATAACATTTGGAGAATGAGAATTGCCCACGTCTGCATTAAGATGGTAGTTCTCTTTAACAGTAAACACATGACAAGTTGATTTGCATTTTAGCAATATTAAACGCAACTTTAGAAATCTATACATTTGAGTTCAATTAGGGCAAAAGAATTGGTTTCAGGCTGCCAAAATTGTACAAATTCATCTATCCAGCTAACGTCTAATGGAAAATAATAAGCTCTACACTTTTAAAGTATCATGAAAATAATATCTTTAATATACAGTTATATACGTACAATACACCATTGACATTTGTTCATATACATTACTTTGTTATTTATTTGCTTCTGATTTAAATAAATGTTCTTCACTCCTAAACTTCTAACAAAGATGTTAAAACCAGCACAGACTTTCACAAGAGCAAGAGCACACTTTCTTTCAACATTGGAATATATTCACTGCGCCAAGAACAGCACTCCCCCATCTATCTTTTTGACATACATGGAAACCATCGGAAAGCTGCTTTGTCTAATACAGTCCCGTAAACAACATGCCTGGAATTTTGCCTTTATTGTTTTATATCAGACATTGTTAATTTCTTTCCTTAAGAATTAAAACTAGATTATGTTTTCAAAAAGCTCTTTTGTCTTAGATATTAGTGAGCCTTAAATGTCCAACATAGGCTTTTGTGTAAAAATGGATCTGTAAATGGAAAAAAACCTCTTTACTGTTGCTATAATATCTTCTATGTAGTCTCACTTTGTGAACAGATTGTTTAAAAGAAAAGATAAATCACATGAAACAATACTTTTAAAACTCATTTTCAAAAACTTCAGTTCATGTTGAAAAGAGATCCCTTGCTTAATGTATTGTTGAAGGCTCTCATGACCGGAGTCACTGGGTGGCTGTGAGTTTTTCCGGTTGTATGGCCATATTCCAGAAGCATTCTCTCCTGACGTTTCACCTAAAATCTCAACTCTAAACTTATAACAGTAAATAAAGAACAACTTTCAGAACAACACTCAAAGGCAGGGGAATTCCAGACAAGAAACAATGAGGGCTAGCTAATCACTTCCCAACAAAGGATTCCCCCAGGCAGTAAGAAGCCATACTTTGAAACTGCTAGGCCATTGCATGCTTATCCGGGTGTCTAACTAAAACATTCACACCTACCTCAAACAGAGAAGAGTTCTTTCTCCCACCCTGGAGATATATAAACCCAATTTTCCTAGTTTCCAATAGACCTCATAACCGCTGAGAATGACTGCCATGCTGGCGAAAAGTCAGGAGAAAATGCTTCTGGAACATGGCCATACAACCTGGAAAATCTCACAACAACCCAGATCTCTTGCTGTTACACATTTTCTGACTGTTGTTGCCAGTGCTTCAAAAAAATAGAGCCGAACCGTTCCCACTTACCTATTCTCTAGCACCAGGGTTCAGCCTGCTCTTCAATGTAAATGGTATCTGCATAGTCATACCCAAAGAGTATGCAGATAATAAAACAAGTTGAGAATAATTTCTCAGACCTTTTAACAACCTTTTGGGCTGGTTGTGGTTAAGGCAATGTTTTTATGGCCCAGAGTTTTTCATTACAACAGAGAAGGACCCACTTAGGACATGCTGGAAAGGCAATTTAGGTGGGACTGAACCCACATCCTTTCAGGAATGTTGTGAAATGTCCCAGCCCGTTGGGTCAATCCCTCTCTGCTTCCTACTGTATCTAAAACAAATTGCATAAATATTGTATAAGGGACAGGAGGGATATGGAACTGTTCATTCTGTGAATTTCCTGGAAGTAACTTTCTTGGGGTCCAATCTATTGAGCTATACTACTCACTTCTTATGAAACGGTTGCCATTATGAAATCAAAATATATAGAACAATAAAAGGTGTCTATGAGAGAGTAAATAATACTGTAGTAGTTTAACCCACAATATATTGGCTGCAAATGCACTCGGAAAAGTGCATTCTTATATAATTAAGCAAGCATTCTCTTACAGATTTTGCTTTTACCAATCATTCCCTAATGTTGCCATTAGGCTCTAACTTGCCAAATGTTCTGCTAAATTCAATTTGACTGTTTAGTCCCATGAGTGTCCATGGGTCACACTGAACTCAGTGGAAATTGGGACTGATCTGTGTTGTCAAAGGTTTTCATGGCCAGAATCACTGGGTTGCTGTGAGTTTTCCGGACTGTTTGGCCTGAAGCATTCTCTCCTAACATTTGGCCACATCTATGGCATCCTCAAAGATCTTGAAGTCTGTTGGAAACTAGGCAAGTGAGACTTATCTGTCTGTGGAATGTCCAGGGTGGGAGAAAGAACGATTGTCTGTTTGAGACAGGTGTGAATGTTGCAATTGGCAACCTTGGTTAGCACGGAATAGCCTTGCAGCTTCACAGCCTGGCTGCTTCCTGCCTGGGGGAATTCTTTGTTGGGAGGTGTTAGCTGGTTCTGATTGTGGACAATTTCAACAGAAAGAATAAAACCATGAAAATGAACAAAATCTGGCTACCAGCATTAAAGACTCTTATATCAGGGCAGTAAATAAAGAACAACACTCAGAAAACTGAATTTTAGACAAGACACAATCAGTCAGCTAGAACTTCCCAACAAAGGATTCCCCCCAGGCAGGAAGCAGCCAGGCTTTGAAGCTGCAAGGCTATTCAATGCTAATCAAGGTAGCCAATCAATTGCAACATTCATACTTGCCTGAAACAGACAAGAGTTCTTTCTTCCACCCTGGATATTCCACAGATATATACACCTCACTTGCCTAACTTCCAACAGATCTCACAACCTGTGGGAGAATTGCTTCTGGAACATGGAAATACAATCCGGAAATCTCACAGCAACCTAGGACTGATCTGTTAAATCTCTAAAAGAAACTGAACACAGTACATCACAATGTAGTGCTCTGATTGATCACACATAGTGAGATATATTATGCATGGCATTTAGTCTCCTTTGCTCCCTGTTCTTCAAAATGAAAATGCTGAAGTGTGGTCGATGTATATAAAAGGGCTCCTGTACTGCATATAAAGAAGTTTGTAAGCCAAATGATTAAAAACAGAAATATTTCCATCTATTTGTCTTTACAAAATGCTGTAAACTTGGCTTCAAGTAGTCCTGTCATTTTGATTAGTTATGCAATATAAACAGGGCAGAAGATTTAAGATGAGACGCTTGTTAATCTGGAGATATGCAAGGGCCAGCAGAGTTAATGTTGACAGCCCTGTCATATGTCTTGTCGCAGGCCCAACTCCATTCAACAGTTCAGAGGTTTAATTCTAAATCAAAGAACAAGATGAGTAGCAGGAATGCTGCCTAGCAGTGGGGATGTTTACTCTTGTGTTGAATCTTATTTTAATTGAATCCTGGGAAAACATTAGGCAATCAGTGTCAGACTTTAAGCTCTGATCCTGCAAGAAGTCATGTTTCCAAATATATTGAGGGATGAGACCAATGATGAGTAGCATTGTAAAGAACAGATTTATTATACCATGAACACATACTATAATGAGAAGGATTCTGTTCTTTTTGCTGCAGCAGACTACCAGAGATACCCTGCTGGATTTTGAGAAATGAAAAGACATCGTGTAAGCTGAAAGAAGTGAGTTTAAAGCATGTGTAGTGTTCCCTACAAGATGAGGAAATGCTTATGAATGTTTGTTTTCAATCATTATTCTCTGACGGACTGACATAAGACATATTTTACTTTTTGGAAGGAAGCAAGACAGATTAATTTCAAAACTCATGTTGAACAACAGCAAAATGATAATATAAATATTCAGTTATGGAAATAAAAAGTGGGATTCACCCCACCCCACATCTCATGTGATTAATATATGGAGGGTTGTTTTGGTGGGGTTTTTTTTTTGGCTGCTGGTCTACTTAGCATCTTACCATCCCCTGGCAAATACTGCTTACTCTTTACATTCCTACACTCACTGGGGTTCAGACTATTTATTGGATAGATAAGAGGCAATGTGCAGGTGGGATTAGCTCACAAGTGCCCCTTGCGTGCCCTTTCAAGTGTATTCACAATGTCTTCTGAGGCAACAGAACATATTGAGGCAATGGCACATACTGTTTGCTCACACATTTGGTGCATTTAGGAGAGGACATTTGGTATCCTGTTGTTTCTTCAGTGCTAAAAATTCCTGTGCATTGTCTTTAGTGTCTGGCTTTCTAAAGTATTATAACCATAAGACAATGATTCAAATAGCAATGTTACAACTAGCCCTCCACATTTGCTGGCAGTTAGGGATCCAGTAGCCCTGTGAAAGTGAAAAAAGGTGAATAAAAATGCTGGTTGTTGGTCGTCTTACACCAGAAGTTGACCACAGCATCACACTGGAGGACCTAGAGATTCCTAGATAGGTGTTCCTTCTTGGAATCTCCTGGTCCTCCAGTGCAATTCTATGGTCAACTTCTACCAGAAATTGAACTGGAGAATCTAGTGATTCCTAGAGAATATTTCAATTAAATCTGTGAATAATCAAATCTGCAGGAGTCAAACCCAAAAATATGGACAGTCAACTTTTGCCTGATACCAGGTTGTCCCCCTCTTCCCTTGTTTCCAATGCCATAAAGAGCCCACCTGTGGTGTTCAGCAGTCACTCATCTTACCTCCTATTCCTACTCCCTGAGGACAATTATCCCAACTGCAATCCTTATCGTAAGCATGAAATCTAAAATGGTGTCCACCTCACTGATGAATAACTAAACCCTTTATCTATAGTAAGTGTTAGTAGCATAGATGGCAGGCAGTTGTAGGTATTCAGTCACCCAAGTATGCTAAAAAAAAAGGACTGATGCCAGTCCTAAATGTGGTTCAATGTGATGTCCAAATATAGCTGGAAATACATAGGCTTGGGCTGTGAAATAGGTTGTATTTCTAGGATACATTTTAGGTGAATCTCCCCTCCCTTGCTGTCCTTCCCCTCATGCCTGACATGATTCAGCTGGGGCTTCAAAGTCTCCTTGAGACGTCTTTTCCAAGAAGTACCCAATTCCCTGGCCCTCCATATCCTGGTTTGCACTAGCCTCGGCCTGGCCCTTTTAAATTGCCTTGGCCCATTTTTTCTTGGACCTAACAATAAGCACAAAGAATAGGCAGAATTACTTTTAATATATATGTGTTGTTTTGATAATTTTATGTTTATGTTGTTTACTCTGTATGTATGTTTAGATGTTTGTTACTGTATGTTTAGTTGTTTGTTACTCTATCTCCCCTGAGTCCCCTCGGGGAGATAGAGCAGTATATAAATAAAGCTTTATTATTATTATATTATAACTAATGTTAGAATCCAAACCATTCAGTTGAAAATAGATTGGCTTTCACATACTTCCACTGCTAGACAAGTTCTCAATAGAACTATCTGTGACCATATGTGCCTACAGCAGTGGTTCTCAACCTGTGGGTCCCCAGATGTTTTGGCCTTCAACTCCCAGAAATCTGAACAGCTGGTAAACCAGCTGGGGTTTCTGGAAGTTGTAGGCGAAAACACCTGAGGACCCACGGGTTGAGAACAACAGGCCTAGAGTTTTATAGAGGCCTAAATACCCTGAAAGGATGATATCCTGAATGATTTAGGAAGCTAAACAGGGACAGTATTTTGATGGGAGACAGGACTAGGTGCTATAGGCTAAATTTCAGAGAAAACAATTGGCAAAAATCCCCTTTTGAGTATTTCTTGTGTAAGATGCCCCCATAAAATCCATAGAGGAATCATGAATTCACAGGCAACAGAAAAAAAAGATACACAATCTTATAGGATTGTGTTGGAAGAAAATTAAATATTCATCAATTCTGCATCAAATTTCTCTGCTGAAGAATCACTTTCCCATGACACAATTTCTGGTGAATTTTAGGACTTAGTGCATAGGCTTTGTGTCTGCTCAACTCATATGAGATCCAAGCTAATGATAGAACAAGGCTAATTGTATATATAGAAAAAGCAGTGGGTTTTAAAAAATGAAGAAGTTAATATCCTAGTCATTAATTGTCTGCATAACAAGTTATAATGAGGAAAGAGAGAAACAGAAGATGAAAAAGGGTAATACTCCGAAAAAGTGAGCCATGTGTTGTTTTAGGGAACAAAACACTTCTATTCAGAAAAGTATGGAGAGCCTGTTTGAAGCTTTCCATCAGCACCATCCAATTTGAGGCAGTGGGCACATGTAGATACTTTTTCAGTTGAATGGGGGTAAGTGGAAAACATGGAGAAAAATAAGGAAAGCAGTTGTGCATAGGTGTCAAAATTCCTATAAGCAACAGAGTGGCCATTACGTGAACCGAATATTGGATTAGATGCATTTTTGATCTTATCCAGCATGGCTTTTCTTGTGCTGTTTAAAAAAAGGCATGAAAAAATGGAAGTTAAAATTGCCTGCCAAATTAAGGTAAAGGTTTTCCCCTGACATTAAATCTAGTTGTGTCCGACTCTGGGGGCTGGTGCTCATCTCCATTTCTAAGCCGAAGAGCCAGCGTTGTCCGTAGACACCTCCTAGATCATGTGGCCACATGAGCACCATTACCTTCCTGCCGGAGCGGTACCTATTAATCTTCTCACATTTACATGTTTTCGAACTGCTAGGTTCGCAAAAGCTAACGCTACCAGCGGGAGCTCACCCTGCTCCCCAGATTCAAACCTCCAACCTTTCAGTAATCAAGTTCAGCGGTTGTACCTTTAACTTTTTTCCCTTCAATATAGCACATTGTGCTCTGTGAAAGATCACAAAAGAAACATTGCATCAAGGCATGATTCATAAAGACATTAAATCTGATCTTTTACACTCTTTGATGGATAAGCTGTTGAATTAGTAAAGAATGTGCCTGGAACCTCTTGCTGACAAGTTATTAAACCAGGCCATTAGGACACATGTGCTACATAGCATGTGGCTCAACCTGATTTTACTTCCATTTCTCCCTATACCCCACTTCTTAATAATCTATATATTATTTCAAAAACAGCATATTCCAAATAAAAGCATTTAGGTTTTTTTAAAAGGAACAATTTATTCAACTTTATTTTGATTAGTTTAGTTTTAGTTTTTGGAATGCAACTGCTTTTAATTTAAGTTTTTATTTTAGATATTGCTCTTCTCTAATTGTTTATTACTGAAACACAAGCAATGCAAAGCACTAAGGATGAGTCACCAAATGGATGCATCAGTGTCTTCCCTGCTTAAGTAACACTCCATCTCAGACCATGCTTACTTTGTATGCATTTCACAAGTAAGAAGGTTAGTTATTAAGCCCTACTATTTTTAATGTAAAGGCTGAGTCTCAAGACTTGCTAACATAATACAGGAAAGCAAAAATTAAGTGAAAACAAAATAGTTGCAAAACTCTGAAACCATTCCCCCTTCTCAGCTAATGCTGAGTATTTTTTCAAAAAATAAACTGAATAAAACAGGAAGATTTTAGAGCCCTCCTCTCCAGCACTGCAAGGCACTTTTCCATTCACGGTGTCTCTTTTTATAAAAGTTTTATGCCATGTAAGAAAACACTATTTGGATGGCACTATCTGCCTTGACTAGGCCAATTTTGAAGCTATAAGCAAATATGTGAAATATGTGTTTGTATGAGAGATTAATAGGACATCCTGCCATACAGAGAATTCTGACAAATTATATCCAGGCTACAAAAAGAATGGTTTCTTTTCTCTCATGTAATACTGAAATGCTTCTGATATTGCCTCTTTGTATCTCTATGAATCTTTCTAGAAAGAGAGCAAAAGTATTGCTTGAAGGTAGATCCAGTTGTTTTCTGTTCCATGACAACCCCAAAAAGTGATGAGTAAGCAGGGGAATGCAACCAAGAAGGGTAACAATGATGGAGAACAAGAATGGACTTCTAAGCATCTCACAAGAGCAAAATGTCTCCTCCTGCTCCCCTCAACCATATCAATCCTTAAACCTTACTTTCTAAGTAGGTAGTGAAATAAATAGTGCCCTGCAGTATCTTGAGAAGGCAGAGAACTAATGTTTTGCTTTGTTGTATGCATAGTTGAAATATAGGTTAATTCATGATGGGTTTTCATTCCAATCCAGGAATCTTATAAAAAGGAAATCTTATTTCCACATTTAGAACAAGAGTGACAAGGGGAAGTCGACATTGTCTAGTAGATAAAAGTGAAGGCAAGTTATGTGGCCATCAAAACAAAAATTAACAATATGAGGAAATAAGTAACTTCATCAGGAAACATGGAACATCAGACTGATTTATGTGCTACTCAGGGTTGACTAGATCCAGAATAATAAATATAGGTTTTTAATAGACTGTATGAATATAAAATTAAATTCCCTTTAAAGTCCATGGTTTAGCAGCTCCTCAGTGTTTTGGGATGTGCAAGGCACACCTTTATTTTTCTACTATGTACAAAAGCATTTACTCATCATTCAAAACTATCTGCATAGTAAGATTCTTCTTTTCCTACTATTTAGACAAGAGAGGAGGAGAAGGAGGAGGATCTTAGTGCAACCTCTTCCCCAAAAAGCTAAAAAGTATGTCAGATGGTGTTAGTCCCAATGCTTCCAGCACACTTCTCTGACTTTCACTGAACAAGCAGAGCACTACATTTTAGGCCTCCAGCCATTAATGAATTGCAGTATTTTCTTAACCTGTAGTTTGCTTAGCTTGAAGTCCTCAGAAAGGATCTCTTCATTGAGCTGAACAAGCAGGTTGCCATCAATCTTCTCAGTAACAAAAAATGTTACAATGTCCTCTGATAAGCCTATAAATCTCAGAGATTTGGATACTTCCTCTACTGAGAGTCCGGATAGATCTACAGGTGGCTGCCAAGGAGAGCCATCTCCACAAGACCTTGGTGCTAGCTGGAGATGAAGAGGGGATGAGAAAGGATAAGAGATGGAAAAGATGTCTGGCACTCCTTTCCTCCCGAGGTACTGATCTTCAGAAAGGTCTGGGGAGCCTGACTGAGGATCTTCCTCAGCACCATCTATTCTGAGAGGCAAGTCAAGACCTGACTTCTCATCCGCTGTTTTGGGGGCTCGAGGAGGTAAGGCAGGGCATGAGAGAGATTGAGGCGGGCTACTTACTGCCAGAGTTTTCTCATCAGTGCACTCAAGAGAGTAACTTGCTGACTTTGGACAACTAGACCCAGCAGAGCTAAGGTCTACTTCTGTAGCTGGCAGTACATTCCCTGTAGGGAGTTCACTTCGGCTGAAATCAAATGTGAAAGGTGCTGGAGAGTTTTTCTTTGGTGTGCTGGGCGTCTTCTGCCTTGGATAACTGTAGCTCCTGTTTGAATCTAGTAGAAAATCACTCCTATTGAGCCCTTCAGAAGCTCCAGAAAAATGATTTGGCCATGACAGTCGAGAGGGTAAAGCATCAACAGAAGAGTTCCCCACAGGCAATTTGCTGCCAAGATCTTGCAGGTCAGCTTTCACAGTGCTGCATGGAAAACACACGGCTGCAGGGCTCTCGGTGGGAATTTCCACATCTCCTTCAGCAGCATTGCTTTGTTGTTGTTATGAAAGAAAGAAAAACAAGAAAGAAGATAATTAATAGGCTGCTCATTAACAGATATGTTAGAACTTTAATTTCAGGTGCTGCCCTGATAGACTGAAAGAAAGTATCTTTAAGCAACTTTCCTTATGCAGAATTTTGCACCTCAAAAACTCAATGCAGGAATGACTTTAAGTGGGGAAATGGCATGCATGTTCATCCACCCCTGCAGTGACTCTTCCCAAAAATGTGGTAAGGTTGACAAAACTGGTTTTTTCTTGTTGGTTTTAACTTACAAGTCACATGCAAAATGCTTGTAGTACTGAATGGCTTAATTTCTAGCATACAGAACATGTACATCTCATCTATTCCCCATACACCAGCACTCATCATTTGCTGCAATCTAGCAATTACTCTTTGAGACCATAATGAGATTTGTTTCTTGATCTTTAGTTTTCATCATATTTCATCATACTGGTAAGTTATATAATACTGCATATTGCTCTTTACTGTATAAGGAATGATAGATCAAGGTGGTAAGCTGTGTATCTTGACTTGGAGGAATCAAATCTAGACTGGATTCATTTAACAAGCAATGAATCCAGTCTAGATTCCGTTCCAGGACTTGGAAAATAAGAAGCACTGCCCATACCGTCCATGGGATTCTGGGAGCTGTAGTTCAACAAGATTACTTTTCCCCCCAAGCTTGAAGTCTCTGCCCTTAAGCTACAAGTCTCGGTTTATATACATATCAAGCTTACTTGGAAATTCTTAATTAGATATCTCTGTGAATTCTGTATTCATTTAACTTTAATAAAATAAAGTTCAAGTTTTATGTTGTTCTAATGAACTTATGAAGTCATATTATACGACCAAATTACTGGCCATCTAACTAAATATTGTCAGTTCTGACTGATAACTGATGGCTCTTCAGGTGTCAGGCAGGAGTTAATATTTAATTGGAAGTTCTGAGACTTTCTCAGGACTCAATAAATCTACTGATTCACATTCCATCTAAGAAGTATAGTGCAGAAATTTAAATTGTTTGCCTCTATGGTTTTCCTTAATGAAATACCGTGGTGGAGCCTGCACAATCTCATTTTTGTTATAACACTGGCAATGAGCCTATCTCTCTCTATGAGACTACAAAAGGTTTAAGATCAGTTGGGGAGGCCCTGCTCTCTGTCCCAACCCCTTCAAAAGTGTGATTGGTTGAGACAAGAGACAGGACCTTCTCAGTGGTAGCCCCTCGGCTGTGGAACTCCTCCCCAATGATATTAGGCAGGCCCCTGGTTTTTAGAAAGAAACTTAAAACCTGGCTTTTTATGCAGGTGTTTGGAGAATAAGAAACCACGGAATGAGATTTTAACAGCTTGGATAATGGACTATGGATTTTGGAAAATGATTTGGATATGAGACCATGACTCAGCATTTTATATGTGATTTTTAATCTGTTTGATAGATTGGTATGAGTTTCAATTGTTTATAGCTTAGATTGTTTATATTTTTATGAGATGTGTTTTATTGTTACCTATGAGGCACTGAATTTTTGCCGGATGTGTCAAGCTGCCTTGAGTCCCCTCTCGGCTCAAGAAAGGAGGGGTAGAAATGAAGTAAGTAAGTAAATAAATAAATAAATGAGATATAAAGTCCTGGTGGGGAGGCAGACATTAGTAGATTAAAATAACCTCTGTACACATGTTTAGTTTTAATATCAGAATATGTTTGCAGTTCTGAATTTTCAAAAATTCAACTGTGTTCCCCTTGCTCCTGCCCTTACTCATTTCAGAAATTTCATTTTAAGATGTATGTGAGGAGTGCTTTTTTGTGGCAATTATACAACTGGAGATCAGAAAAACCTGTTAACCCCCAAATTACTTTGCAATTTGCCACTAGGTTCCAAACTACTTCCTGCCTACTCTTAAATCTTAGATGCAACAAGAGATTGTTAACTGTATGGATTAAGAGTTAAAAGAAAAATAATGGGGGGGGGGGGGTAAACAAGAGCAAAAATATATTAGTGCAGTTCTGTTATCTATTATAGCAATTTAAGAGCACAAAACATGTTAAAGAAGTAAACGTGAATGAAGAAATACACTTGCGATTTCAACAAGGAGAGATGTAAGATACCACACTTAGGCAGAAAAAAATGGAATGCAAAGATACAGGATGGATGATGCCTGAACTAACAACAGTACATATGAAAAAGATATTGGATTCTTAGTGAACAACAAGTTAAACATGAGCTAACAATGTGATGCAGCAGCTAAAAAAGCCAATGGGATTTGGGGCTGCATCAAAAGGAGTATAGTGTCTAGAGGGAAGTCATGGTGTCACACTATTCTGTTTTGGTCAGACCTCACCTGGAATATTGTGTCCAATTCTGGGCACCATGGTTTAAAAGAGATATTGACAAGCTGGAATGTGTTCAGGGGAGGGCAACTAAAATGATCAAATATCTGGAAACCGTGCCCTAAACATTCTGAGCTTAAAGAGCTTGGTATGTTTAGTCTACAGAAGAGAAGGTTGAGAGGAGACATGATGGCTATGTTTAAATACGAGGGGTATTTTTAAAGTAAGGTCCGTTGGAACATAAGTACACAACGAAAGTTTATTTCAAAAAAGTAAATTTATTTTCAGAAAGTACATACTTCACTCTATTTTTCAACATAGTTGCCAAGTTTGTTCAAACACTTATCATACCTCTGAACCATACCTCTAGATTGTTTTTTATTAATTTTGATGTATGAACTGACTGTCTTAATTGTTATAATTGCTGTTTACATGTTTTATCCATTGTTATGTTTATCCTGGCATCGAATTGTGCCTTTGTAAGGCACCCCGAGTCCCCCCTCGGGGGTTGAGAAGGGCGGGGTAGAAATGCGGGAAATAAATAAATAAATAAATCAACCAATTTTAAAATACCCTCTTCATAAAAACTTGCCGCCTGCTCCAATAACCAAATAGTCTGTAATCAAAGAAGGGCAACTGGAGCGGTCCTCATCATGGACGTTGTCACGGCCATCTTTGAATTGTCGTACCCACTTACGCACTTCGCTTTCACTCATAACAGTATCACCGTACACTTCACAAATCTGTCAATGAATTTCTGCAGCAGGCAGGTTCCTTGCTGATAAAAACACTGAGCGAACCTCACATGTGGCAGGTGAGTTGATAGTCTTAAACATTTTTAAAGCACAGAACAGAACCGTACAGGTTAGCTACAGAGCGGAAACTGAGCACAGTTGTTCCCGAGGCATGCCAGTACACGACGCACGTGTTTGTTGCGGTATGCGCGCGAACTACTAGTGTCTACAACAAAACAGACCTTACTTAAAAAATACCTCTCGTATTTGAAAAGATGTCATAAGGAAAAGGGAGCAGGCTTGTTTTCTGCTGTCCTGAAGATTAGGACTCGGAGCAATGGGCTCAAGTTACAGGAAAGGAGATTCCATCTGAACATTAGGAAGAACTTCTTGACTGTAAGAGCTGTTCAGCAGTGGAACTCATTGACACCGAGTGTGGAGGAAGCTCCTTCTTTGGAGACTTTTAAACAGAGGCTGGGTGGTCATCTGTCGGGGGTACTTTGATTATGCTTTTTCTGCATGGAAGGGGGTTAGACTAGATGGCCCGTTTGCTCTTCAACTTTATGATTCTATTATTGTCTTCACAGTTATCAGCAAGTTTACCTTACTGTAACAGGTCGAAATACTAGAAGGAAGGAATCAGTACTCACATGTTGTGCAACCCTGAAGAATAGTATGAGAGTGTTGGACTAGGAGAGCGGGTCTGCTGCCGGGTTGGTTTTATTGTCCGTGGAGGAATAGAAGGACTGGTGGATGTTGGCTTTGAGCTGCGTGGTGGAACAGGTGGAGCATTCAGGAGCCTACATTCCTCTCTGACCTGGACAGGAAAAAAGCCCAATCATTATATAGCATGGTTCAGCATACTGAGAGGTTGTCAAGAATTAGCCCTAACAAAGTATACACATGTAGTTAGTTCCTTTTAGTTGTAACCTTTTAGATACATTTAGAGTTATAGTAATGTGACATCATTAATGGTAGAAGAATACCACATAGTTCAAATGTTGTCTCGCCCTGTGCATCATGCTGTTACATTTGGATGCTTTTTGTTAAAAAATAAAATAAAAATGAAAAGGTAAATGTGGAAATCAAACCTAATTTTTAAAAACTATAATTATGGTTGTAGTTTTAAACTACAATTCTGTTACTTTTAAAAACCAACGTTATCCACTCTGGTTGGGACTGCATCGTTGGCAATAGTTACAATCCTAAAAAGGCATCAGTGGGAATCCTACAGCCTTCTAGATCAGTGTTTCTCAAAGATCAGTGTTTGTTCTTCCAGGTATTTTGGATTTAATCTCCCAGAAATCCCAGCCAGTTTACAAGCTGTTAGGAATTGAAGGAGCTGAAATCCAAAATACCTGGAGGAGCAGAGTTTGAGAAACACTGTTCTAGATGCTGTCAACATTAACTATAGACCAGTGTTTCTTGAATTTTAGTTCTGCCAGATGCTTTGGACCTCAGCTTCCAGAATACCATATTGTTAGCCAAGCTGTCTGGGGCGTCTGCAAACTGAAGAGCAAAAAACCTGGAAGACCAAAGCTTGGGAGCCACTACTTCAGACAATGTCCAGGATTCTTTGCTGCAGGCAATTCCCACCTGCAGGCAATTCTTCACAATATTTGGCACACTATATGATTCCAACCTTTGTTATAAAAGTAAATCAGAATTATTACCCCTCTGTTATATACAGCAGAGGCTGAATGAGAATGTATTTCCTAAAGTCACTCAGCTGATACATTACAAAAGTAGAATTGGAATTTTCAGGGTCACAGCTTATTCTCTTCATCCCTGGTCACCCCACCTCTATCAGCATTTTTAAAAAATCATTTAAGAAGCCAGGTTGGTAACTTCACAGGTGACAGAAACAGATGCTCTTTTCAGGTCCATTTGGTAAGGGACATAAAAAGGTGGGCATAGGGACAAAGCTCATCTTGGTGGACATAATATAATATATTGTGTATACATATAGTATTGATAATATTATGTGATACAATATAATACTACTACTACTAATACGATATTATAATTATATATTTTATATTACATGTCATATTACTAATAATATTACAGTATAATGGTACAGTACAATATAGTAATATATAATACTAATATTGTGCTATGGTAATAATATATTGTATTTACATATTACTTGTAAGCTGCTCTGAGTCGGGGTGAGAAGGACAGCATATAAATGTTGTAAATAAATAAATAATATGTGCCTGCAAAGATTCCCTCCCTCCCTCTCTCACACACAAACTTAGGGAAGCACTGGCTATATCATCCACTACATTTCACAATGGAAATGGATTTAAAGCAGAGAAGATCCAGCTAGTGTCTAACTGGTGTGCTACCAGCAGAGGGCACATGGTAGCCACTGAAAGACCATATTCTTTTTCAAACCTTTCCTACTCTCACAGAATACATTTTGAAGCACTTTGCAAGAAATAATTTCAAAACATAAATACATAACACATTCGGGTTTTTATACAGATGCACAAAGTCATCCTGTAAGATCTTCGTTGATTCTTCTGTCTCCTCAGCATGCTCCCTGACTCGGATATGGGAGAGAAGTTTTGGTAGCTGCCTTATGCCTAAAGAGGCAGGTATTCCTAGAAGGTGGTGCAGGTTGAGCCTCTTATGTTCCACAAAATTCTATCTTTTCCTGATGTTTGGTCTGAGCAATTTCCACTACATCGGCAACATTCAGCATTACAACTTTCAGGATATTTCTCATCAGAAATAAGTAAGGTTGTGCTGAACTTGTACCTGTTCTGCCTGGACTCAATGAGCTGAAACTAAATCTTAACAAAATGGTAGCATTGTTGGCTGATGGTTCATCTATCTGAGTGAATATTATAGTCACTCCTCCTAAAGAATTGGGTTCTCAACTTTGTACACTGAATAGAGGTATTTTAACTAGTTTCAAATAGTTTAGACCAGTGCTTCCCAACCTGTGGTCCATGGGCTACTAGACTTCCACAATAACTACATTATGGTCCATGGCCTTGCCATTATTACATTGTTTCAACAAGAGCAATTGCTTTAACAAAACCCTATTACAGAGCCGAGACTTATGGTTTTCTGTGGATGAGCAGATGACAACTACTGGATGACATAAGTTCTATATCAGAAACTAGAGATGATGTGGTCTATTCAATGCAATTTTTCTGAATCAGCACCCCAATAACCAAACCAAATCTAAAGTTGACCAAAACCCGATTTGTAACCCTTTTGGTACTAATGTTGGAGAGTGGACCCTGGTCAAAGTGATCCCTAGACAAAAAGAGGTTGGGAACCATTGGTTTAGATCAGGGGTCCACAAACTTTTTAAACAGAGGGCCAGGTCGCAGTCCCTCAAAGTATTGGAGGGCCAGATTATAATTTGAAAAAACAAAACAAAAACATGAATTCCTATACACACTGCACATATCTTATTTGTAGTGCAAAAACACTTAAATGCAATACAATAATTAAAATGAAGAACAATTTTAACAAATATAAACTTATTTCAATGGGAAGTGTGGGGCTGCTTTTGGCTGATGAGATAGGATTGTTGTTGTTGTGTGCTTTCAAGTCGTTTCAGACTTAGGTTTGCCCTGAGCGAGGGCCGGGTAAATGACCTGGGAGGGCCGTATTTGGCCCCCGGGCCTTAGTTTGAGGACCCCTGGTTTAGACTATTTGTTTCTATTCAATGTTTTGAGGTTGCCTTTTAGAAGAAGTTTAGAAATTACAGTTGGGTCAAAACAAAGCAGGCAGATTAATTAATGGGATTAGGCATTCTGATTACATCATACATGTGAGATATACTGGCTGCTCCTGGGAATGATTAAAATGATGTTTTTAACCTATAAATTCTTAAATAAGGTTGGGAATAGGTTCCTAGACAAATATTAAGGTCTTTGTTCGCCTTTTCTCTCAAGGCTCATGTTGAATGAAGTGAGGGAGACTATTTCTAGACAGAGAACACTTTGGATATCCACTTATGTAACAGCTATCCCACATCTATTTCCTATGTCAAACTTGTATCATTCCAGCATTATATGAGGGCCCCTTTTTGTTCATCCAGTCCATTAAAAATTTTACACACACACACACAGGTATATATATTCTTATATATTATATTCAATTTTGAATGCTGAATTTTATTTGTGGTTTCTGTGAGTTTTGCTTCCTTTTATACTTTAAATTGATTTGGATTTTATTGCATTATGTTTTATATTTTATTTTATATTAAAATCATTTGTTTTATGGGGATGCATAAAACTGAAAGTAAATGAATGAAATGTTATTCTCATATCAAGATCTATAACTATGAAAAAGTCAATTCCTGTAGAATTAAGATCTGAGGGAGCATACAGACAATGACTATAAGCTGAATATATATATATATATATATATATATATATATATATATATATCTCAAAAACACAAGCAAACATCAAAGAGTATTAGGATGAGCTCAGTAATTTGGAACTAGAATATTATAATTCACAGGACCCTAATTTAAGGTTAAATACATCTCTTTGTGGTGGTGCTTCTTGTGGTCAGTGGAAGATTGTTTGCATCAGCCAAAAAGTATGCAACATTTTATATGGACAAAAGTCCCAACTGGTGTGGAGATAGTACATGTGAAATTGTTAGTTCATGGGGCTTAACAGCACATTGCAAGAATTGTAAGAATAATATTTCCAGAAGGCAGTATGGGCATGGGACTTTAATTTGAAAAGTATACCTTATTTTTCTAACAAAATCAAAATAAGTTCTTTTTTGGGCTTGCTATTTCAAATATTTTGTACCCTAGGAATCTGGGGAATTAATTTAATTCAGACTCAAACATCAGCATGCCATACCAAACAATATATGTCAATGTATTGAAAGGAGATCATCTTTACATGTTTGTCCCACCATTGGCAAAAGAAGCTCACAGGCACAAAATGTTCCCATTTGTCAAATGCATAGGAAAAAAAAACCTTTAGAGCCCTATTTGAAAAGTGATTCAGATATGCATATGCATCCTAAGAATTACTTATGACAACTCAGTGATTAATAGCTGAACTGATATCTTTGAACAGTATAATCTGAAATGACACTAGCATCTAAAATGGATTATCATTATTCCTCCATTTGGTATTACAGTCATCACAAGATTATCATGAAAATATGTGTCATTACTAAAACAATGTTAGAATTGGCAGTGAAACCCCAGATCTAGTTTCTTAGGATCAGTCAGATATATATCTCATCATACACATTATAAGTACACATTGGGTAAATAGTCATTATATTTTGAAGATAACACCAGAAATGTCTGCCCATGTACCCAGGGTAAAACAGCAGTTAACTATTAGTGTGGTCTTTTCCTCTCCAAAAGACTGGTATGACCACCTGTATCAAAATGCGATATGGTGTGATTTTTGAAGGTATTATAGTACACTAGCTCAGCAACCACCATCCCCAAACAAACTCTATTTTCAGTTTAAGTAATTAATACTCTCTAAATTATATAAGGAAATAAGGACAAGCTCTCTCATACACTACACTAACACTGAGAAAAATATCATTTAAGGAAATTATCCACAACTTTAGGAAATGTGCATTTTTTTCTAGTTTACATCTCTCTACCAACTTCCAACTGGTAATGATTAAACCAAGGCACATTTAACTAGCCAGTAGAAAGCATGTAGAATAAATGCTTCAATTGCCATAACCTAGATAGCTATTTTCAATGTGCCCAACAGGTTTCCCAATGCTTAATGAAGCTTTTGGTATTTTTCTATTGATAATATTTTATTTTACCCCAAATATTTCAGCCTTCAAACTGAAATTAAGTCAGTATATATGGACAAGTACCAAAGGCAAGGTTGTCATAATACTTCTATTTAAGTAACATAACTGGTTATGCAAAAGCATTTGCAGAGTGACTCACATTCCTATCAGCTTCATTATACCCACTGGGAAGTTAAAGCAGACATGCATTTATAATGCTTCCTTTCTGTCTCTATCTTTGGCTACTTTCCACAGAAAGGAAAACAACTTGTCTATGAGTTGGAGAGGCTGAAGACACTACTGCTATACTTCAGACTTGCTTCAGTCTATTAGATTCTCCAGATGGCAATAAGATATCTGTATTGCATATTAAAACCAAGTAGTTAATATTTCCCATTAACTGACACAACATTGAACAAAATGTATGACACCAATACAATACAATATCTCTGAATGAATGAACACTGCAGCCTTCTAAGCACAGAAATAACTCATTAAGATCCTTTCACAAGATAGACTATTATTTATTTTATTTATTTACCACACTTATATCCTACCCTTCTCAACCCTGAAGGGGACTCAGGGCGGCCTTACAAAGGCAACAATTCAATGCTGCATGTATACACATCATCGATAAACGAACAAAACATTTAAACCAACCAGTCAAAACACAGCATTAAAATAATTAATCCAGGTCATAATCCAGGGCTGGTCTGAATCATCAATGTTCATTTGAAGTCTTTTATTACACTTGCTCCCATTACTGGCCAAAAGTCTGATCCCAGAGCCATGTTTTTAATTTTTTTCCCTGAAGGCCGATCTAATTTCACTGGAGAGAGTGTTACATAAATGAGGGGCCAGCACTGAGAAGGCCCTGTCTCTCATTCCCTCCAGTTGTGCTTGCGAGGGACATGGGACTGAGAGCAGGGCCTTCCCCGGCAATCTTAGCCTCCAAGGTGGATCATAGGAGGAGATATGTTTGGATAGGTAAGCTGAACCATTTAGGGCTTTATAGAGTAAAGCCAGCACTTTGAATTGCACAAACAATTTGAATTAGTGCAAACAGTGAGTTTAGATGTCTCCAGTATGAGAAGGACAGATTATAGCTACCCTCCTCACATTGAGAGAATTGAAGATAGTCTGAACAAGAGGACCTTTTGTATTGTCAAAGGCTTTCATGGCTGGAATCACTGGGTTGCTGAGGACCTTTTCATCGGCTGCCCCAAGACTGTGGAAAGACTTGTCGGAAGAGTTCTGACAGCTAGATGAGCTGTCGGAAATGAAAAACCATCTAAAAACCTATCTCTTCTGGCAGCCCTACCCAGCCAGTTTTAATCATGAATTTTAAACTTGTATCTTGTGTTTAACATCTGTTCTGTGTATTTTAATATGTATTTTATAGAAATAAGTTTTAATATGCATCTTTTATAGAAATATGTATATTTATAGAATGTTTACAATGTTTATGTGTTTTAACTATGCTGTAACCTGTCTTGAGCTATGAGGAGAGGTGGGTAATAAATAAAAGTTATTACTACTACTACTACTACTACTACTACTACTATAATAAAGGGATTGGACTTTGCAAAGCATATTTATTCTAGAGACCGTCTTATGAATTACTATTTGCTTGCTGCACAGAAATCATGGGGTGGAAGAAAATAATATCTTTTTCACTGGATTTAGACATTATCCACTTACGAGTTCTTAATGAACTTGTACTCCTTTGACCAAAACACATCCTTGTCCATAAGATTAACTCCAATAGAAATGGGAAAATGGAAAATATAATATCAATTAAAAAAAAGAATCAAAATAGATCCAAGAAATTACAAAAGCAAATCTTTCTCAAGATGAATCTGCTAAGACAAATCCTGTCCTGATAATGTTTCACATTGCTTTGAGCATGTCTACAAATAAGTTAGTGGATAAGGCAGGATCTGGTAAGACAATGGTCAAGATTCTGCATTAGGACATGTAGCTATCAGATGAGGATTTGTGTGTGTGCAAAAGACAGAACTGACTGATCTAATAAATTTTAACTTCAAATGAATTATGGCAATAGGGTTGGTAATTCTGTGCTGGGGTTAAAGCTCATTTTCCTAGGAAGAGCAACATTTTCATGTTTATGGCAAGTACTTCCCCATTCACCTTAAACAGAAAAAAGAATGAACATAACTTACTGCTTCAGATTTAGGAGGCACAGGTGGTGGAGGTAGGGCAACATCTGAAGATTTTGATGTCGCTGTTAATGATCCCGGGGCTGGAAGACAAGGATTTCCACACTTGGACCGGAATGAACTTCTATAGTTGTCACATTTGTTCTTTTCACTCTGTGAACGAGTAAGTGGCTGATCATTCATTTTCCCACCCCCTTGATCTAGCCATAGTTCTTCATAAGGAAGTTCTGATTTCGTAGGTAAACATAATGATTCTTCACCAACTTCAGGGAAAAGGTAGTCATTGCTCCCATCTCCAGCCTCCTGGTATTGCAGAGCATCATGGGAGAACAAAGTCCACTCGTTACACAAGTCCCTGCATCCATGAAGGTTCACCTCACTGTTTCCATGGAGGTTGTTCCCATAAACACACACAGAGAGGCGATGGAAGGACTGGGTCAATTCATCTCGAGCATAACTGAGAGAGTTTGGCACATGATTGTGGCTAGTAGGCCGACTCTTCTGCGGGCTTTTGCAGTCTTCATTCCAGTCAGCCTTCACATCTCTCACAGCACGTGAATACTCATCTATATCAAACTGCTCTTGACAGAGGCTGAACCAGTGCTTGACAAAAGATTCATGCCATACCTCCCCTTTCACAAGGCTTTCTGGGAGGGTGAACTTTGGAAGAGCTAAATGCAAAGGGAAGTGCATTGGAATAATTTTGTTACTGTGCAGCGCGCAGCAAACCACAACAGTTTTGGTTTGAATGTTCACAAATTTGTAGCGGTGCCCCTCTCGGACAAAATGCAAATCAAAAGGATTTCGTGGTGGAGGGCATGGCACAGTCACATTGACAGGGAGGCGTGTTTTTTCTACTATGTTGCGAATTGTGTGCTCGCCCTCCTGCATCTGCAGCTCTAAAGGGCTGCGTGTGCTGAATCTGCCCTTGCACTGGAAAGGAAGGCTAATGCTCTCATTGGTCCTGTGGTTCATGCAAATCAGGCAAGGCATTTTGCCTTTGCCCAATTTGCTGATGGAATTAAGCTTCCCAATTTTCTTGAAGATGGTGTTGAGCCGTGATTTCTCCTTTGAAGATTTTGCATAAAGGATTTCTGCTTGTCCCATTAAGGTTAGCTCATCCCCAGTGCAGAGTGTAATGTTGTAGACCTCCGTGTCTTCATTGCATTCACCTGAAGCCACCTGTAACACAAAGGAATCCAATGTTAAGAAGCTTGAAGAAACAATTTTGAACACTGTAGTGGTGCTAGATCAACAGAACAATAAAAACAGTGCATCTTTAACTTTTAGATAAGGAGAATGCTTCTACAGCAAACCTGCCAGTAACTTCTTCTGTAAAGCAAGGACTGCAAGAGTGGCATATTGACCAACAATTCAAATAGCAACAAAATATTAATTTTTCAGACAGAAATACACAATTAAATATATTTTAACTGAGTAAGAACATCCCATACTTTAATTAATACAAATAATATTTAGAGCTTGGCATTGTAACAGTATGGTAGCTAGCAGCTTTATTTCCCTCCGTTTCTCTTTTTGGACTTGGCATTAGTAAGTAGAGTCTCGCTTATCCAACCTTTGCTCATCCAACACTCTGTATTAGCCAACGCAGTCTGCCTCCTGCCCGGATCCTGCTTCAATACATTGCGATGTTTTGGTGCTATATGCGTAAATACAGTAATTACTACATAATGTTACCATGTATTGGACTGCTTTTTCTGTTGATTTGTTGTAATGATTTTTTGGTGCTTAATTTGCAAAACCATAACATAATTTGACATTTAATAGGATTTCCTTGATCCCTCGTTATTATCCAACATTTTTGCTTATCCAATGTTCTGCCGGCCCATTTATGTTGGATAAGCCTGACTCTAGTGTAAGTGAGCCCCCCCCCCCCCGGTGGCGCAGTGGTTTAAAGCACTGAGCTGCTGAGCTTGTTAATCGAAAGGTCGCAGGTTCGATTTCCGGGAGCGGTGTGAGCTTCCGCTGTCAGCCCTAGCTTCTGCCCACCTAGCAGTTCGAAAACATGCAAATGTGAGTAGATCAATAGGTACCGCTCCGCGGGAAGGTAACGGCGCTCCATGCAGTCATGCCGGCCACATGACCTTGGAGGTGTCTACGGACAATGTTGACTCTTCGGCTTAGAAATGGAGATGAGCACCACACCCCAGAGTCAGACATGACTGGACTTAATGTCAGGGGACTACCTACTGTAAGTGAATACAGGCAATCTCCGAGTAACAAACATCCAACTTACATACAACTCCAAGTGACAATCAGGGGTGAGACAACAATCAGGGGTGAGACTATCAGGGGTGAGACAACAGGAAGTGAGAAGAAATTACTCCTAGGATGAAAAATTCACTCCTGTTAAGTTATCATGGGAAAAGGGTGTCTTCCACTGAAACTTTATCACCAATCCCTGTTTCTACAACAAGCCATTTTTTTCCAAAATCCAATTATCACAGGAACAGAAAGTAAGGTGAAATCTTCTGAACAAGGGTACAGAGAGCCAAACAAACATCGCAGGGGAGTTAACTCTTTCTAATGTTATCCAAAGCTAAAAACAAGATTAGCTGGAGTTAAAAATGTAACTGTTCCAACTTACATACAATTTCAACTTAAGAACAGCACTATATACCACTGAGGTGGCTGAGTACTTCTTAACTCTCTTTTCAATGTTTTTGTGTGAGAGAGGGAAGGCAAAATGAAGAAAGACCATAGAGGTCCTGTTACTGTTAAGAGCTGAGTAGCTAATATTGGTACAGCACTTTGGTGATAGACTTGTTGATGCAAACAATTAGTTATTTGGCTTATTACCAAAAGTAATGGCTATTTATCTCAGTCAAGTTGCTAAGTGCCTTGCTGAACTAGGAATCATATAAAATCAAAAGTAACTAATACACAGTACTCAAAATTGGGATGCATAGTCTCAGTTTCTCTGACACCCCTTGATGAATTTTAACAATTTCTAGTAGAAAACTATCTTTCAGATATATGCTGCTATAGACAAAAACAGAAATCCATATTTGCCAAGTCTGGCAAGGTGAGTAGATGGTATATTTATGAGGATATGTTTAAAGAACTACAGTGAAAATATTAATTAGGGTGAGCTACAGGGAGCATAGTAATCCCTGGCCGCAATAATATCACTGGCTGCTGGACTGTTTCCAAACACACTTTAAAATACTGGGTAAGACCTATAAATGTTAGCCTTACAGAGTCAGGCTAAGGATATCTGAAGCATTTTATCTTCTTATATGAGCCTACCTGGCTCTAGCATCTTCAGGAGAGGCCCTTCTCTCAGTCCCACCATCTTCCCAGTCAGATTTGGGAAGAATACAGAATGTAGCCTCCTAAACGGTAGCTTCCAGAATTTGCAGTTTCTTTTCTGGAGAGATTCTTCCTTTCCTTCTTTAAGCAAATGAAAACCTTACTGAATTTTTTTTAAAAAAAAATGACTGAAAAGACTTTTAATAATAAGCTAATTTATTACTGTGCTGGTTTGATTAAAAACATTTAAAAATCATGGGTTATGGAAATAAAAATAATGTTTTTTATTTATGTTTTTATTTTTATTTTTTATAAATTTATTTTATTTGTGTCTTTTATTTGAATGGTATAAGTTTTAATATTTGTAAGCTGTTTTCAATTAAGTTATTGGGGATCGATGGAATATAAATGAATGAATGAATCAATGACAAAATGGAGTAGCATCCTAAAATGTGAGCTTTTATCTATATACACAGTTTTTTTTGCTGAGACACGTAAATACTGAGATCTCAATCTTCAGAACTGTATACAGACTGCTCTTTCTTGTTGTACTGGAAATTGTGCAAATTAAATGTAAAAGGAACAGAACAAAGTCATTACTCATGTTTGGGCATCTACCAAATTAATGTGATTTCTAATAAATATATAGATGAATGAATGCAGCATCCATATAAACTAAGCCAGTAAGGGTTATATCAAGGATGAAAATCATGTGGCCCTCAAGAAAGTAGTGCTCTCCAAGTTTTGGCAGCATGTATAGCATAGTCAATGGTGAAAAATCTTGGTATAAAAACAACTAGAGGACCATAAAAAGGGCAGTCCTTGTAAGAGGAAGGAGAAGCAAAAATTATTCTCCTCCTTTATTTTATTTACTGAAATAGTGCATTTTAATTTTTTCTTCACACTTAAATCATGTTTTCCCAGGAATACGCTCAAGATTACTAACTAAAAACAAATCAAATAAAACATTAACATAATACTCAATATATATCGAACAGCTTAAATGTTAATTAGATTTCAAGTATTAAAAAGGAAAGAGTAGTAAGTGATGACAAAAGTAAGAAGCCACTGAAAGGCTTCTTATTGCAATCACTTTCGAATCACTGCAAGTGATGGCATTTTCTAGAGGGTCTCTTCTCAAGTCCTTAATATCTACACACAGTCATAATGAGAGATGTGATCACTCAGATAAATCCCCAAACCATTTAGGTTTTTAAAAGTTAAAGCCAAAACTATTACTTGAGTCTGGAAAGCCCTATTCCACAATGGCCTCTGTTTCTTCTACTTAACATTGGCTGTTGAGAGCAACAGCCCACCACATAATATTAACAACTTAATTTACGAAATGATTTGGTCTATTGATTTTTGAAACAATAGTGGGGAAGTACAAAGTAGCCATTACACTAACAACAGTTTGGCAAAATTGGAGAAGATGCATCATCAATAAAATCCAGGACAGAAAAGTGGAACTAGGTTTCAAGTGGAATACTTTGGTATGTGTAGCGTGCCTGCCTAACATCTCGGTTTCAGAGCTTCCTGAGAGGAAGTTATTCAAGTGCTCTGTTATGTACATATTGTTACCAGAGCCAATTCAGGAAGCAATCAAGATCTTACTGTACGTGATAGCAATTCACAATTCAGACCAGTGGCTAGACAATGACAGGCATTAATATCAATTGATGAGTAACATGTCCACCATCTCTCTCTCTCTCCCTCCCCCTGCTCTCTCTCTCACACACACAGCCTCAAAGCGTACTTCACACAAAATATTATTCCTGCTGCATGAGCTTCATTTCTAAGAGTAGAAAATACACCGCATAGCATAGGACAAAATCTTGAAGGCTAATTTATCCACTAAAATTGTAGTATCCAAGATAATATCCAGTGATTGTGCTCTCACACATATGGGTCATTCTGAATGTATATGGTGATTTTTGGATGCTCCAAGAGCTACATTTTGGGATAATCCCACCTCTTTACTTGCATGGACATAAGATGTGCATTCTTGTCAAAACCAGGTTCCAAGTACTCTAGTGGGATTCTTGGAGTAGACTGACAGCATGAACAGAGGAAAAAGGCAGATTGTGTGAGTGCACAATGCCAACTCAAAGAACCAGTTACAGCAAGGCAACCTGTTTTTCTTTTGTGGTCTTTGTAACTCACACATATTAAAGAATAGTAAGCTAATTCACTGGAGCTGATGGGTCATGCCAAGACAACAGACTCACCCCACTCAGTAGTTGGACTGAGACTATGCTGACAGTCTGTAATGACACAGTAACATAGAAAGTGGTGATCGTGTAAAATGTGGCAAAGTTTTGGGAGAGGGATTCTCCCGAGATGTGTTGAGAGGGTTGCCATTACTGATCCAGTGATGATCAGTAACCAGTCCTTATCCATTTTCCGGTCTTTCTTCTTAGGCTCCATTGAAGCAAAATAAGGAGTATATTTTTCCTAGAGTTGATTCTCTAGACATATCCCAGGAGGAAGAAGAAGGTCTCTAAATCTGTCTCCCTTGGAGACTTATTTGGCCATTGGGACCAAGGATGGGGACAATTTTCTACTGAGGAAACTTAAGTGGCTGCTGCAAAAATCTAGAATCTTCAATAATGGGGTGTTGTATTAATTTTTGTTTCAATGGCAGCTAGGAGTAAGAACTTCTACAACTTTGTAAAGACAAACAACCAAGCCCTTAAATGCTTTGTATTCTGCAAATATGGTATATTATATAATTTGGGTATTATTATTGTTGTTGTTGTTGTTGTTATTGTTATTATTATTTTTATTCCACTTTATCTCTCCTGAAGGAGACTCAAAGTGGCTTAACATAAAAGTATTAGCATACAATGTAAAATATATCAATATGCAAACATTAAAACAGAATTAAAATAAAGAGTTTTTAAAAAAAT